CCAAGTAAGATTGCGGCGATAGATCTAGGAAGCCAGCACGGCCTACACATGAGCCATAGTGTCTCAAGGTTTTCTGGATCTTCGTATTCGACCAGACGTCTAGTATATACACCGCTCCGAACATATGCGCATACTCCGCCACCTTTTCCTTTTTTCCGAGTCTGATGGAAAGCATCGTACCCTGGAATAAAAGAAGATTCTATGGTGGAGTCGTCTAGCCATGTTTCGGTTACGGCCACAATGTCGGGTTTGTAGTCACGTAGGTGGAACTCAAGCTCACAAATTTTTTATCGTAATGATTGGGCATTGAGAAGGAGGAACTTAGGAAGGCAGTGTTTCGCTATCAATTTGCCCCTCTTTCCTCCCCGTTTGCCTCTTCTTGTGGGAATGTTCTTTTGGATGATGTGGTGCTTTCTAAGATGAAGATATAAGTCTTTGCTGATACGCTGTCGCCCTCTGTTCAAGTCCAACAACTCGCACCTTGAATACGTCTTCTGGCACGAAAACTTCACTCTGCGACATCCTGGGCGGGAAGCACAATGCAATACAACGGAGACACTTGCTGGAGATGGCGTTGCTTGAATTTGGTCGAGGTCACTCCTAGTCAAAGAGATCTGGAGAAACAGGAACTAGAACTACGCGCACAAGGCAGCCACGGGGGCGCCATTTCTTTCTCTCTCTTTTTCTAATTTCACTGAAATTTAGTTGTACGCCTTGTAATGCACACAGGTCTAAGCAAAACCTTCTATTTTTCGCTAATTTTTATTGCTCCTTTTCGTTGTTTCTTGTCAAGTTTGAACCTTTGACCATTCGAAAAAGTTTCCATTTATTCTCTCATGTCTCGAAAAGTCCACTTTCTCAGCGTGAAAGTCAGTTTTCAAACTAGGGCAGAGAAGGAACCATCGTCACATTAGAGTGAGAAAATTATGAGGTTTCCCTCGCTCGATGAACAGGATGGAATCTGGGCCTGACGATCTTAATATATGCTGTCGACGGTGAAAGGAGAAAGACCAAAGATTATAGAGGTGTAACCTGGTGCTCAAACTTAGTTCATGAGGTGGAACGCCGTCCAAGGCCACACCTACACCCCAAGTACTAGGGAAAATGGAACTCCTTTGTGCCAAGTATTATAAATCCCAATTTCCAATCCCTTTTTTTAGAGTGGATTCGGATGATTAGCCTATCTACAGACCACGTAGAAGACCGATCCTTAAGAACCAGTGGAAAAAGCTAGAAAGTGAAGCCAAGCCCGCCTCTAAATGGCCATGGCGACACGCATTGTGCCATGAGGTCTGCCAACTGGACGGACTTGAGATACGTCCTTGATGTTAAGTGATTTCATTGAATCCGTAGACCTTGGTCCATGCTTACCTCAGCAAATCGTAAGCGTCAGTGGGGTGCACGAAGCCATTCGGACTTTGTTAAATGAATATCTTGGCAATGGACCAAGGTGTAATCCGTTAGGCGCATGACCGATCTTGCAATGCATAGATGGGTGAAAGTGAATCAGGGTTGGATTAGACACGCGCGAGGAGTGCGACCTCCATGTATCCCTACAAGAATAGGCCTAGTGTCAGAGGACTGTGTCATCTCTCAGTGCGCAAACTAATGTTGACAGTAGTAGTAGTGAAGTTCTCAAATTGGGTTCGTTCAAAGCTTCAATAATACAAACTAGTTAGTTTACAGCATTGCTTGCAGAAGTAAGAAATATTAAAAGCATTTTAATGAGGCCTTAATTGTTCTAAGCTACACTAGTTGGGGTCAAGCTGAGCTAAGATAAGATTCGACATTTTAGGAAAGGGATAGCAGTCCCTTTCATAATATTTTTTGGTTTGATGTACTTTATTTTGGAAGATAGTGTGTGAGCACAACTTTGCTTCATTACTGCTGCTCATGGTACTCTAATTTCGCTGCACTTTTTGAATTGTGAACTTGGTCAAAATAATTGCTCATGAAAATTCAAGGCTATGAATATGCCCTCTTTCAGGACTACTGACCTAATTTTCAATATGGGAGGTGTATCCAATTGCAATAGGCAATGATTCTTGTTATTGGGGGCAGTTGCTAGGCCTGTTGCTTGTTGGCCCTCTGTCATATGAAAAAAAAATAATTTAAAGGTTTAAGCAGTTTTGGTGGTAGAATAATACATTAAGGTCTAATCCAGAAGCTCAGTTTCATTGTTATGGTAGATGTCATAATTAGTACAAATGTGCAGGGAAGAGTCCAATTTTTTTTTAGACTGCGAGCACTAGGACTGATCAGTTGCACTTCGGGACTATCAGTCTTAAAACAAGGTGATGAAAGAGGACAGGCTTACTGTCAGTGAAGCAGAGGCACCACAGGAAGAGAAGTCATTGGATCAGAGATGCTGGTAGACATGATGATGTGGTCATCTTAAGAAGCACGGAAGGCTCCTAGGGAGCTCGCATATCTAAGGGTCATGGTTTCATCTTTCTGCTGGACTTGCTTAAGAGTCAAAGAGTTTTGACACCATGGGGAAGCATTCCTTGGAGTTTGGTCATTGTCATAGTTGTAGTGGGTGCTGGGAAGGGAAGGGAATACATTTGTCTCTTTTGGGGTCTTGTGGCTGTTCAAGTCTGCTCTCAAAAAGTGGGGTATGATGCAGTTGAGAAGATATAGGATAAGATACTCTGTTTTAAGATAAGATTGAAAGCTCAACAAGGATCAGATGGTCAAGCTGAAGAGCTCTCTTATAGATGTGTATGGGATCAGCTGAAAACACTTGAGATTGCAAGATCATATCTTGGTTTGATTAAGAGAGTGGCGTTTGAGGTATGACATAATGATGCTGAAGGGCTTTTTTTCAGTAGGTCAGAGATTTTCATCAGTCCCTTTTTCAGAATCCAGTTGAACTGGTGTGAAATAAAGAAGTTCATCATTGCAGGGGTAAATTAATTGTCAGTCACTGTAAGCCTTGGAGGCATGAAATGAAAAATGTTAATAATGATCACTTTTAAAATATCTGATTGGAAAGTAAGTTCTCGGAATTTCGTGAACAATTATTACAACCCAGTTTATTTAAAAGCAAAATCATCTCAATCATGAATGTAATCACCATTGGCCTCTATCACTTCACGCCAATGTTTATGCAAACTATGGATGCCATTCCAATAGAACTCTGGCGGCTGCGC